TTATTAGGCAGATTGAAAACCAAATACAACTTCCAAAAATGAAAAATATAATTGAAATTAGAAACTCACCTATTAGAAAATTCATGGTTTAAACCAGGGGTTGGAAAACTACAGTTTACAGATCACATCTGGCTTGAGCTACCACCTGTTTTTGTCAGTAGAGTTTTCCTGGAGCACAGCCGTGCTCAATCTGCCTTCATGCTGCAACAGAAACCATATGGCACACAAAACCTAAAATATTTACTCTCTGGCCCTTTACAGAAAAAGTTTGCTGGCCCTAAATAGCAGATTAGATCAGATGAGAGAGAGAAAGAGTGCATGACCTGGAAGATAGAGCTGAAGAAGTTACCCAGAATGAAGGACAGAGGGTTATGGTGATGGAAAATAGGAGAGATTGAGGGACATGAAGGATGTAGTGAAAAAGGTCTAGCCTACATACAATTGGGTTAGAAAGACAGAATGAGGAAAAGGAAATAAATAATGGCCAAGAATTTTCGAGAATTAATGAGATCCTCAGATTATTAAAGTTAAATAACTCTCAAATGGGGTGAATGATACATATATCATAGCCAAGTTACAATATATGAAAGGCAGAAAAACTCTTGCTGATTTCTCAAAGTCTAAAAAGAAAACCAGAAATACTGGAACATCTTCAATGTGTGCAGACAAAATAACTATCAACTTGGAATTGTATGCCATTGAGTCTATATTTCAAGAATGAACACAATATAAAGTCGTTTTAGAGCATTTTAAACCAACAGGTTCTCATTAAAAGAAATTGCAAAGAGGGTACTTCAGGCTGAGGGGGAAAAAGCCAGAGGTACAAAAAAGAAAAGAGGCAAATACGGTGGCAAATAGGCTATTAAATCTAAGTATATATTGAATATTTAAAATAATGGCAATACTCTATGTTGTAGAATTTTTAAAAATCAAGATAAAACTAGATTCCTAGATTGCAGTAACATTTAAGGCAGGGATGTAAGTTGTAATAGAATAAAGCATTCAAAGATCTTCACTTTGGGAAGAAGGTAGATACTGATTAATTTTAGACTCAAATGTACATATTAAAATGCCTAAAATATCTAGTAAATATAAAAATAATTCAAATGGGATATATAACTTCCAAACTAGTAGAAGGTAAATATTCAAATGAACAGGTAAAACAGATGTTATATGTGACTCCAGAAAGGTGGACATCAAAAGTTTTTCTTTTGAACATATGTAGCAATGGAACAAAATATAGTGTCTGGAAATAGACCCAAACATACATAGTCGGGCGCCTGGGTGGCTCAGTTGGTTAAGCGACTGCCTTCGGCTCAGGTCATGATCCTGGAGTCCCAGGATCGAGTCCCGCATCGGGCTCCTTGCTCGGCAGGGAGTCTGCTTCTCCCTCTGACCCTCCCCCCTCTCATGTGCTCTCTCTCATTCTCTCTCTCTTTCAAGTAAATAAATAAAAAATCTTTAAAAAAAAAAACAAAAAACCATACATAGTCAATTAACCTTTAACAAAAGTGCAAAATGCAATTTTATGGAAAGAGGATAGTCTTTTCAACAAGCAGTGCTAGAATAATTGGAAATTCACATGCAAAAAAATTAACATTGATCTACACCTTGCACCACAAAAATTAACTCAAAATGGAAAATTAAAGAGGGCACGTGTTGTAATGAGCACTGGGTATAAGACTGATGAATCACTGAACTCTACTTCTGAAACTAATAATACACTACATGTCAATTAATTGGAAAAACCCAAAATGGATCATATTCCTGAATATAAAACTGAAAACTATAAACTTGCAGAAGAAGACACAGGAGAAAATCTTTGTGACTTTGGGTTAGTCAGAGATTTCTTAGCTATGACATTAAAAGCATGTGATCCATAAAATTTTTAAAAAATGGATAAATTGAACTTCATCAAAATTAACTTTTACTTCTCAAAAGACACTGCTATAAAAGTGAAAAGGGAAGCCAAAATAGGAGAAAATACTTGGAAAACACATATCTGACAAAGGACTTTTATCTAGATTATAAAAAGAGCTCTTACAACTCAATAGTAAGTAGAAAAACAGCCCAATTGTTTGTTGTATTTTTTTTTTAATCAGGAAAATATTTGAACAAGCACTTCATAAGGAAAGGTATATGCATGAGCACATATCTGATAAAGGTTAATATCCAAAATATGTAAAGAATGCCTACAACTCCATAACAAAAAAATAGATTTTCAAATAGGCAGAGGAACAACTGAATAGACATTTTTCCAAAGGATGCATACAGATGGTTAACAGACAGGAAGAGATGTTCAACATCACTAATCATCAGGGAAATGCAAGTTAAAATCACAGTGACCTATCACCTCACACCTGTTAGAATTACTGTCATCTAAATGACAAGAGATAACAAGTATTGGCACGGATGTGGAAAAAAGGAAATCCTTGTGCACTGTTGATGGGAATATAAATTGGTGCAGCTACCATGGAAAGCAGTATGGAAGCATATGATCCAACAATCCCACTTTTGGGTTTGTATCCAGAGGAAATGAAAACAGGATATTAAAGAGATATCTGCACTCCCTTGTTCATTGCAGCATTATTCACAATAACCAAGACACCTAAGTGTCTGTCAACAGATGAAAAGATAAAGAAGATGTGTATATATGCAATAATTAATCAGCCATGAGAAATAAGGAAATCCTGCCATTTGCAACAACGTGAATGGACCTTGAGGGCATTATGCTAAATGAGATAAGTCCGACAGAAAAAGGCAAATACTGTCTGATATTACTTACGTATGGAAATAAAAAAGCCAAACTTATAGGAACAGAGAGTAGAATCATTGTTACCATGGTTACCGGGGGTGAAGTTAGAAGGTAAACAAGTTCTGGAGATCCAGTGTACAGCATTGTGATTATAGTTAACAATACTGTATTATAGTTAATACTGTATTATATACTTGAAAGTTGCTAAGAACTTAAATGTTCTCATAGCAAAAAAGAAAAAAAGTAGAACTTAAATGTTCTCATCACAAAAAAGAAAAAGTAATTATGTGACATGATGGAGGTGTTAACTAGTGCTATGGTAGTAATCATTTTAATATATATGTGTATTAAATCATCACATTGTACACCATAAACTTACATAATGCTATATATCAGTTACATCTCAGTAAAGGTGGGGTAGGGGGAGTAATTCTCCAAAATCTATTAATGTTGGTATCTCCCCTGCCATTACCCCCACGGCACACAAACATACACTCATTCTCTGTATTGCTATAGATTTACTGTTATTCACAGGGATTTAGGAAAGGTAAACATGTGTCCTCAACGTTCTTGGAAAAATACACCATATACGAATAGCTAACAGACACATGAAAAAATGTTCAACATCATTAGACATCAGGGAAATTCAAATCAAAACCACACTGAGATACCACCTTACACCAGTTAGAATGGCAAAAATTAACAAGGCAGGAAACAACAAATGATGGAGAGGATGCGGAGAAAGGGGAACTGTTGGTGGGAATGCAAGTTGGTACAGCCACTTTGGAAAATAGTATGGAGATTCTTCAAAAAGTTAAAAATAGAGCTACCCAATGACCCAGCAATTGCACTACTGGGTATTTACCCCAAAGATACAAATGTAGTGAAAAGAAGGGGCACATGCACCCCAATGTTCATAGCAATGTCCACAATAGTCAAACTGTGGAAAGAGCCAAGAGGCCCTTCAATAGATAAATGGTTAAAGATATGGTCCATATATACAATGGAATATTACTCAGCCATCAGAAAGGATGAATACCGGGGCGCCTGGGT